CGCTGTCCCTCAGCTCTTCAGCTCAAGGCGAGTGCTCTACCACATGAGCCACAGCGCCACTTCCGGTTTTCTAGTGGTTTATTGGAGATAGGAGTCTCACGGTCTTTCCTGCCCAGGCTGGCTTTGAACCGAGATTCTCAGATCTCAGCCTCCTGAGTAGCTAGGATTACAGGCATGAGCCACCGGCGCCCGGCTTAAACTGAGATTTTTCTAAGGTAAGGTTTCCCAAATTACTTCATTAGTAAATGAGAAAGTTCTGTTTTCTATTAGTAAAATTATGCTGCCTGTTCTTTTTTTTTTTTGGGGTCCAGTCGTGGGGCCTAACTCTGGGCCTGGGCGCTGTCCCTCAGCTCTTCAGCTCAAGGCTAGTGCTCTACTGCTTGAGCCACAGTGTCACTTCCGGCTTTTTTTTTATGTGGAGCTGAGGAATCGAACCCAGAGCCTCATGCATGCAATGCAAGTGCTCTACCATTGAGCCACCTTCCCAGCCCCATATGCTGCCTGTTCAAAGTACGAGTATGACAGGGAAGTTACAGAGTTTGATCTTGAATGGCACAATTCATTAGTTTTTTTTTTTTTCCCCCGCATCTAGTGAACTTGTAGAGAAACTACTGTCATATGTGGTAGGAGTAGGTGGTTGAGTATCTGGTGATTTCAGTGCTCTTGTCCTTGTCTCTTCCAGCCCATCTTCAGGCTCATTCATAAATGCACTCTATGGAGAATCTTGAGCCCAACAGTAGTGGTAGATGAGCATTTATGTGAACATTCAAACAAGGAGACAAATGACAAATTTACAAATAACAGTGGGTGGGAAGGTAGCTCAGTGGTAGAGTGCTTGCCTTGCATGCATGAGGCCCTGGGTTCAATTCCTCAGCACTACATAAGCAGAAAAAGCTAGAAATGGTGCTGTGGCTCAAGTGGTAGAGTGCTAGCCTTGAGCTGAAGAGCTGAGGGACAGCGCCCAGGCCCAGATTTCAGGCCCCATGGACCGACAAAAAAAAAAAAAAGACAAATATGTAAAGGAGTAAATTCTCCAAAACTGTTGTGAACATTCCATTTTTCCCCTCGTAAGTTGCATGGCACTACTCAGGAGTTTTGAAATGATAGAATAGTCCATAGTTCCACATTTCTTCTAGTCTCCAATACTAGCATTCTTTACCTTAATTACTTTGTCTTGTTTTGTTTCATTTCCTTTAATTTAGTTTGTTTGAGATGGTCGTCTTATGTAATCCTGCTGCCTTGAACTACTGATTCTTCTGCTTTAACTTTCCAACTCTAAGGATTATAGGTATGTACCACCATGCTTGGTGTGTTAATTGCCTTTTGCTGCTAGATTCTACAAGCAGAGCTTCAAATTAAAGAATGCTATTTCTTCCTTGTATAATACTTGCTGCATTTGCACTTTGTACCAAGTTGTGTGAAGCATAATCAGTTACATTCTCTGCCCATGAAAAAATTTAGCCTAATGGAGAAGTGTAAAGATTATTGTAGTTTGAGGTGGTATGTCCTACAAGACCATAGTTAAGATCACTTATTCTGGCGCTGGGAAGGTGGCTCAGTGGTAGAATGCTTGCCTTGCATGCCTGAGGCCCTGGGTTCGATTCCTCAGCACCACATAAGCAGAAAGAAAAAAGCTGGAAGTGGTGCTGTGGCTGAAGTGGTAGAGCGTTAGCCTTGAGCTGAAGAGCTGAGGGACAGCACCAAGGTCCAGAGTTCAGGCCCCACGACCAGACCCCTCCCAAAAAAAAAAAAAAAAAAGAAAAGAAATAAAGATCACTTATTCTGCTGGACGCCAGGGGCTCATGCCTGTACTCAGGAGGCTGAGATCTGAGGATCCAGATTCAAAACTAGCCCAGGCAGGAAAGTCTGTGAGACTCTTATTTCTAATAAACCACTCAGAAAACCGGAATTGCCGCTGTGGCTCAAGTGGTAGAGCACTAGTCTTGAGCTGAATATCTGAGGGACAGCGCCCAGGCCCAGAGTTCAAGCCCCATGACCAACCCCCACCCTCCCTCCAGAAAAAAGGGTCACTTATTCTTTGTTTGGCTGGATTTTTTTTTTTTAATGCTATATAGCCCAGGCTGACCTGGAACTCAAAATCCTCTTGGATCTACTTCCCCAGTGCTCTGTTTACAGGTGTGCACCATCATACTGAGTCAGATACCTCTCCAATAGTTTCTCCTGATGATTGTTGCTTTTCTGATTGCTGTGGGTGACTCTAGCTACATTTACCCCATCAATATGCTTGCTTAGTGCTTACATACTCCGTGTACTCTACAGTAGGTCCTCTTTATAAGCAACTTAAAGGCAAAAACTTTTTTTGAGCACCAGCACAATGCTAGGCACATAATAAGGATTCCGAAAATTTTTATTGGAATTCTGTTTGAGGCCTTTTTTCTTTTCTGGTCGTGGGGCTTGAACTCTGGGCTTGGACACTGTCTCTCAGCCCTTCAGCTCAAGGCGATCGCTCTACCACTTGAGACATAGCATTACTTCGGGTTTTCTAGTGGTTTATTGGAGATAGGAGTCTCACAAACTTTCCTGCCTGGGCTGGCTTTGAACCTCGATCCTCAGATCTCAGCCTCCTGAGTAGCTAGAATTACAGGTGTGAGCCACTGGCACCCGGCTGAGGCCATTTCTTAAAAGATGAGAAAGACTTCCCCAGATAGATCAGGGAAAGAAATCCAGGCCAAGGGAACAATTTACACAAATAGATGACATTGTAAAGAGTTCCCAAAGAGGGGTTGGGAAGGTGGCTCAGTGGTAGAGTGCTTGCCTGGCATGCATGAAGCCCCGGGTTGGAGTCCTCAGCACCACGTAAGGAGAAAAAGCCAGAAGTGGTGCTATGGCTCAAGTGGTAGAGCACTAGCCTTGAACTGAAGAGCTGAGGGACAGCGCCCAGGCCCAGAGTTCAGGCCCCATGACCGACCAAAATAAATAAATAAATAAAGAGTTCCCAAAGGCTAGGAAGGCTTTCTAATGTGGTGTTTGAGGCACAGTTACTTGTAGGATGTTATTGCCAATAAACTACCCAGTGCCAGCTATGCTAGATTAGAAAAATTCAGATAGTAAAGAAAAGGAAGTTCTCTCCCCACCATATATACAGAAGTTAAAAATTAGTCTATTATTTGATACATATTTGTGTGATCTGAACATTCCTTTTGGTGATCTTTTCCTAGAGCTTACATCCCAAAGATGGCCATAAATAATAAGAGGCATGTTGAATTGCAATATAGTTAAAATAGCTAGAGTTTATTCTCCTAGGTAATTTAGTTTATATTGGTACTAAAGCACAAAAGCACATTTAAATTAAAGCATATTTATTGAAAATATAAGGCATGTAAGTATGCTGTCATGTTGCTGTATAATATGCTTTTTATTTATTTATTTTTTTGTCTGTGGTGGGAATTGAACTTTGGGCCTTGGTGCTGTCCCTCAGCTCTTCAGCTCAAGGCAAGCACTCTACCACTTGAGCCACAGTGCCACTTCTGGTTTTCTGGTTGTTAACTGGAAATAAGAGTCTAACTTACTTTCCTGTACGGACTGGCTTTCAACCGTAATCCTCAGATCTCAGCCATCTGAGTAGCTAGGATTACAGGTGTGAGCTACCAGTGCCAGGCTTAATATGCTTTGCTAACAATGTTTAGGAATTATAAATGTTGCTAAAAGTTTAGAATGTTTGGAGTTTTTTAACGAAAAAATATGGTCAGGGAATTTTGTAATTATTATTTGGAGTTTTGTTGCTGTTTTATTTGAGTGTTAAATCTAAGGAACAAAATATTGCTTAGGCCAGGTGCCTGTGATCCAAGCTACTCAGGAGGCTGAGATCTGAAGATCACAGTTTGAAGTCAGCCTGGGCCAGAAAGTCCGTGAGATTTTTTTTTTTTT